TAGCCAGAGAGCCGACATCCTCCCCAAAACGGTCCGTAATTATGGAGACCGAAGATATGCCCTAACTGGGCCTTAGTCACATTTAAAGTGCGGAACTCTTTCCGGCGACTACACAGCATACCGCCGAGAGTTAAACTAGATGGCTGTAACACGAGCAAATCAAATGGAGGAAGCTGCATGAGATGCGGTAGCTGCTGCTCGTGAGTCCCAGTCATCGAGTTTAGCCACGCGACGCTCACAGCGGCGCGGGAGAAACTCTCTAAATTGACATAACTCGGCGGATGTTTTTTCGCGGTATGCTGTGTAGTTGCCGGAAGAGGTCTGCAATTTACATGTGACTGAGGCCCTGTTAGGGTATATTCTCGGCCTCCACAATTTGGGACCGTTATTCGGAAGAGCCAAAACTGGCTAACGTTACATCGGAATGGATCGAGCGATCTGACTGAGAGACAGAATTTAGCCAGAGATCTTGCGAAAATATCAGAGCATTCGCCACAGAAGTGGCCCAAATAAACCAGACCACAAATATAACCAGAGACTGTTGGCGGCTTCTGCTGGCTAGCAGCAGGTTGAACGTAGTCAAGATTTTTTTTATTGACTTGGATTTATATTTGATCAGAATTGAAATTCTATATCTATTACATCATAGCTGTGCCAAATTTCTTTTCGGATCATTTCTCTGGTTAGGAAGATCGGACGCCTGTGTGTATTTCTGTGCGCGTAAAAAATGCCTTGCCAGTTGGAAATCGAAAAAGAGTAGCCTAACAGGGCTGCCCGCGCAAAATTTGGAGTTATAAATCTACCCAAAGTATGTCAGGATCATCGCCGGGGCAACGGAGTTCATGCATTGTGTCGAGAATCTTTAGACTCTGGCTCGAGTTAGAAGTACAATTGAGCACTTAAGTGTTACACGTGTGTGCAATTATGTTAATCCCTTGAATAAACATGTTATAAGACTTTGATCTCATCAATGCCTTCATTGTTGAATTCTTCATAAAAGATTGATTTTTTTCCCCAACTCTTAGCTCTGCTGAAGGAGAAAATTATGTCTATGAACGAAATCATATAAAAGATTGCATAGATGTTGGGGTACTCATGGCAAGCTCTCGCTTCACAAGGTTTTTCTAATATTGTAAACTCAAATTTTTCTGACCTCCCACTCTATGTGGCGGATCTTGCATTATTAATTCCACCATGTTTTTTTTTTTTTTTTTAATAAACAAGGCTGGGACATTTCATGACCAATGACATAACTGACGTCGGTCTTTCTTAAGTAACACTGGGTCCAGCAAAATTTCTAAAAATTACCACAACATCCGACGTGTTACTAAAAGTAGTTGAGTTGAGTTAAGAATTGACATCACAGCACTCGGGGCATTCCCATGTCTGCTCTGTCCTCATCCTCAGCAGCCAGCACAGAGTTCCAATACTGATGGTACCGGTCACAATCTGGTTAAATGTACGCCTTGCATTTCCTCTGAGTGTAGTGAGCCCGCCGGACCCTCTGGTTACACCCAGGTGCCTTATTTTCTCCAGACCATAATAATCTTCTTTCTCTACTGATTCCGTTGCTTACTCCCAAAGGGCCTTGACATGTATCAATTCACCACTCAGTGGTGCGGATCCAGCCAATCTGTCTGCCTGTTCATTAACAACCACAGCTTGGAGAAAAGATCCAAACTATTAAAAGTAGTTTCGCCCTGCAAGGGTAAAATAGTACCAAATGTGTATAGGAGCACCAACTTCGACAGCCCTGGGCACAGAAAAAAAAAAACAAAAAAAAAAGGGGGGGGGGCGCTGTGTGATTGGGGGGGGGGGGGCGCTCCCTAATGCTGCCGTCTTTGTACACTTGTTAGAATTCATAGCTATCTATCTCTCTGTCCGTTTAACACTTATATCCACAGCCGTGTCGGCATCATTATGGGGCACGTATGATAACTTGTGTGCTGAGGCCCTACACACATGAATGTCATTTTTATTTGAGGGAAGTCACCTAACACACATAGCATGGGACCTGTAGGTTCGTGGAGCCCCCCTCCCCCCCAAGAAAGTGTCCAGCGGATCAATTCGTTATGCCGGCACTGACTTTAACTTTTAATTTACATAACATATATTTCCTGTTTCTATTTATTTACCTCTCAAATATCTTTTTTTTTAACACACCCCCCCCCCCTCTACCCCCCCCCCCCCCCCCCCCCCAAAAAAAAAACAACCACTTACATCTTTCTTTTTTTTCAGATTTAATCTGAAATGCTATTGAAAGATTCTCAGAATATCTTGGACAAAAAAGATGAGAAATACTGACATCTTAAAAGATCTGAACATCAAGGAAGATTGGCTAATAGACCGCATCCTTTCTCGAAAGCTGAAATATTTTGGTCATATCAAGCGCCACGACAGATTGGAAAAAAATTATAGCAGAGGGCATGGTACCAGGAAGGAGGGGCTTGGGCCGACAAACACGAAGATGGGCACAGGATATAAGTGACCCCTTGAGTGTGAAAGTTGATGAGGCGAGAGAGCTGGCGAGAGACCGAGTATCGTTCAGACAGTCTGTGATGAGAGTGACGTTCTGCAAAGGACCTGCTACATGATGATGATGTCTAGTCCCCAAGTCGAAGGGATCAGACCGTTTGCCTCTTACTCTAAAGGTCGTGGGTTCGTTTCACGGCTGTGTCGTTGAGTTCACGTGCAGTGTGTACCCGAGATTCCCAGGGATCGTTGCTGGCGTTACAGAGATCAGGCTACGTTCTTGACATAGGACTAATTGAACTGTCAAAGCCCAAGTTTTGCGCGTACAGTCGTTTTATTGGCTTTGTATGCAGCTTGTTCCTTACGACTCCCAGTTACCCGACTCATGTTAGAAGTGGCTCTATTTTTTTCTGGAAGGATCAGAAGTAACAAAACTGCGTGCCCAATTTGTAACATTTAAAAATGGTTTGGTCGCTCATTCAGTGTTTTATTTACCACCCTTTATTCTGTGTGCATTTTTTTTTACCTGTTGTCACGGACAATCAACTATTGGCCATAAACTTTGAGGCCAGCTCTATGTCTGTTGCATTTTCCCAAAGTAGTATTTAACAATTTCATTAAGCATCTATGCTGCAATGTGTGCATATCTCTCTCTGCAGTGTTTCAAATCTACATGGTGGTTGGCCATCAGACTTTCTCATCTTTTTTTCAGACCAGAGGTAAAAAATCTTCAGCCAACACTTAAAGCAATATTACAGCTATTCGGTATTTCAAAACAATGTTTCACTGTTGTGAATATGAACAAAGAAGACATTGCACAATTTATTATGCGTCAGTAACTTCATCAATCCATTATTTATGTCTTTCCCTGCCTCTTGTTACACATTTTTCGATTGGTATATTTCACTCTGGAAGTCACCGAGTGGTTGCTTGGTTAGAACACTCGGCTCTTGAGAGGGAGACCACGGTTCGAATCCGCAGCAGTTTTTTTTTATTACTTAGGGCTAAAATAAAATCATCACCTGCACTGCCGTGGCAGCACTAGCCATATGGCCCTTAATGATATATATTTAAAAAAAAAACCAAGGACAGGTTTGTGGGTAAACCAGTTGATAATTAAATGACCATTTCACATATTTAATTTTAAACTTTTCGATTGCATGGTTACGCTGAAATTTCATAGCTTTCCATTAATTTTCATTTAGATTTAATTATTTTGTCTGCACTGGAATTTTAAGCTGTGCTGTTTACTTCCTAATTCTGGTGTATTTAATTGCTTTTTTCCCCTCTCAACTACTTCGATGAGGGGAAGAATAGTCGGTGAATTTGGGGAGGGGGCAAACTGATTACCGAGAGAGCTTTAAGTCACAGAACTGCTTTACCCACTCAAAGTAGCAGCAGTAGTTGTGGTTGGGCGGTTACACTGTAGTGCTCTCATGTGAAGACCGCCGGTAAGGTTATGGCATTCTTCTGTCCGGGAGCGAAATCATACATCCTAACCTGTCCGTGGCGACAACATTAGCCATGCGGCGCCAAATCTTCTGGCTCGCGACTCCGTCTACTCCGGTGGTAAAACAGATAGCAGTGACATTATTTTAGTAGTTGTACTGGTACCTTGAAGGATGATGTATTACACTAGCCCCATTCACTACCAATTACAATTCCTGCTCCCAATTTAGTCCGGATGAACAGGGATCTCAATTACAACAAAAACAATATCGCCAGGTGATTTTTCAATCCTTCGAAGAGGGAGAGAGCAGTAGTCGGTGGAAGAGGGGAGGGGAGAGGGTGATGACTGAAATTTAGGATAACTTGAATAGCTTTACACATGATTTTTAAGTTATTACTCAAATTGTTTATATTTTACTAACGCTACCTTCACTATTCTAATTTTTGTTTGACTTACTTTGCTATTTACAAGTACAGTAGTAGCTTCACTTGTGTTCTAAAGTTGGAAAACCAGACTATATAAATGTGCAGAAAATGATTGCAACATTATCAGACAGGTGCGATTTCCATTGTCTTTCATATCAAAAAACCTTCGAGGGAGAGGGTAGGGTGGGGATCAAAGACAATGATTGTATTAGACACGTTCGATGCTATTTTTATTCATTTCCATTTAGCAAAGCGTGGCCGGGTACAGCCGAGGTCTATAAAAAATATAGGTCTAGCTAGAGACAGAGGGGCCAGGGCCTTATACCAGTAACTGACATGATCTTTTACTTTGCAGCTACCCTGGTAAATGCAGCCAGCCAATTTTGTTCTACTTCCAAGGATTCATTTTAATCATGTTTATCGCTACCAGCAGAGTTGGTGTGCACATCCATTGTGTACTTGGGTGTTAGGTCGGCAGCAATGTCATTTAGAAGAATGAAACAGTAAGCTAAGTATAAGCCATACTTTGGTTAATTTGCAGTACACATTTAAAACACAAAGTGCTAGTTCAGTATTTTATTTTTCTGAAAGTACACGAACCAGGTAACATTTTACAAATTTCCAGTAAATCTTGTGAGAGCGGTCAGCAATTCTTAAGAAGGTGCAACAGGAGCCTCCTTGAGCAAAAGTTCCTTCTTGAGTGGACCCATGAAGGAGCGCTTCTCCTCTGGAGTCTGGAAACGACCATGACCCCATTTGCTGGAGGTATCGATGAATTTGAGGGTGATCTTCTCCATGAGACGACGACGGAAACTGGTCATCAGAGACTGCAAGAAAAAAAGCCATAATAAGTTAAACACTTGCGACAAAAAAAAAAAAAAAAAGTGCAAAAAATTGACCAACACTTGGGACGCGCCATGAGCATTCGTGGTATTCTCTCCAAACCATTTATTCTAGCCTATGCACCGCCAAATTGCTCCAAAAAAGACCACAACCACACCCAGCTCGCTGTGCATTAACTGCATCTGCCTGCCATTTCCCTCTCTAAAGCTTGTCTCCATATCCTGACGTGTGCAAATGGCAATTGTATACATTTTAAAAAATGGTTACTTTTACAGGTATTCAATGGGATTGGGCATAGAGAGACCATACAGTTGAAGAAGTGAGTAAGCTAAGTCACCACTAGAGGAAAGGGCTGATCACTAAGAGGGCTCAGAATGTGCTATTAGGATTTACACAAAGCATTTTTTCTGATCAAAGCAAAATTTAATAAACTGACCTTGCGGAGAGTAATGACCCTCTTACGAGGACCCACACAACAGCCTCGGAGCATGATAAAGTCATTCCTGACCTCACCATAGTGGGGGAACCCACCCAGCGGGGTGATAGTCTTCTCAGTGGGGTCAAACTCGGTGGCTGCATTATTCTTGATAACCTTGCCTTCGTGTGTGTGGATGCCGGCACCAATGCGGTAGATCTGCAAATCAAGATATACATGGTCAAGCTTATTAACAGGTCAGCATGAATTTTTTTAAATGAAACAACCGCCTTAAACCATAATCCAATATTTTATTCTAATCACCACAAGATGAGTGATGTGGTCAGCATCACGACAGTCTTTACTTCCAATGACTGCACCCGGTACCCACTCAAGGAAGGCTTGGTCAACCAGGAAAAAAAGTTAGACAAGCAACTAGCCGCTCCACCACAGCATCTCATTTTCTTATATGCATTTATAAACTATTCAATGTCAAATCAAATGCACCAGGGGGTTAGAGGGTACATCACACATTTTAAAAAAAGGACTAAGAAATGTTTTATCTTTCTCCTGGGGCTAAAATATGAGGCAATGGTAATTTTTTTTTAAAAACCAGAATTGTATAAATACTAACATGTGCAGGTGGCAGTTTGTGTAAACTGGCGCCACAAATGCATCAAAAAAAATTAGGTAACCTCACCTTTTTATTGATTTCCGTGCGGTGGTGGTAACCTTTCTGACCAGCTCTGGCCACAGAGTACTGCACTCGGCTAGGATGCCAGGCTCCGATACAGGCAACCTTACGCAGACCTTTATGGGTCTTACGTGGCAGCTTCTTTGTGTGCCAACGGGAAGTCACACCTGGTAACAAAAATAAAACATATATGACATACCAAGAAGTCATCAAAAAACAATTTTTAACATTTTCAATAAAAACATCAGAAGGAAGGCAACAATGGAAACAATCTTCATGAAATGAGATCAGCTACCTCTCGCAAGAGGTAGATTCCACGTCTTCATCATGTGTTTCGATATACTCTTTTACACTGTCATCTCACTGTTCTACCAGCAAATTTACTTCAGTAACTCTTTAACTTGGGTTGAAGAGATCTGCCAGAAAAATATCAAATGTACCTGCAGTCTTTGTTTTCTTCAATTCCAATCCTGTTTGTGACTGATGTGTTTATTCCTGATCTTGTTTTAGTCAGCCGAGATTACATTTTTTCGGTTTTTGTTCTGCTGTAAATCGTAGCATGAAAATATCTGCCGCCCTCAAGATCTGTGATGTTCTGTTTTAGGCTATGCAGTTCTATGGTTAGGGGGCTGCCTAACATTTAGTTTTTTTCATTAACCACCACTTACGTTACACTAAAGCTCTTATAAACCCCAAAGTTCAGATTTACATTTTTTTTTAATAACAACTTAAATTTGACACCTTTAAAAAAAGAAAACAGGTGGGTGAGGGGCAGAAAAAGAGACATACCTTTAACTCCATGACCCTTGGTGACTCCAATGCAGTCAATAAGCTCGTCCTGCTCAAAGACTGAGGACACCTCAATGGGTTTCTCAAAGTGGGAAACAGCCCAGTCAACCTTCTGGGAGACACTTCCTCCATTCAGCTGGATCTCCATCAGGTGAGCTTTTTTTTGGCGCTTACGAAGCAACTTGGTCTGTTTGAAAACAAACAGAGCACTTCAAAACCAACAAAACCACGGAAGTATTAATGTACAAAATATAGCAGTTTATGTGGGATCTAATGCCAGATCTTAGGGAAAAAAACCAGACACCATATCAGGTTGCTTAAATAAGGTAGGTCAAAAGTGTTAATGTCACGGCTAATCATAGCTGTTACAACATAGTGTACTGACTTGTGAATATAAAAAGCGATGCTAACAAACTGTTGACTGGTTCAACCATAAGGTATTCTTGTGTGTGATGTTTTTTTTTAGTATTTTAAATTATATTGACATATGACAGTACATTTGAAATTTAATTACTGGTGATAGATTCATAATAAAGCTGACTGTAATTAGAACAAATGTATACCTGGGTGTGGGCAAGGATGCGAACCACCTGGCAGTACTTCTTGATCTTCTTCAAGTCAGTATCGATGGCTTTCTTGCCAGTCTCGTCAGCCCATTTCTTGGCATACTGGGTGAAGGCTTTTTTCTTCTTGGAACTGGACCTACAAATTATCAATCACACTATATCACAATGCTCTGCACATGTTGTTCTAATGTCTCAAACAAGTTTTACTAGAAATTCCAGAAAATAACCTTTAAATAATTCTAGGTTGAAAACTGTCTCAGGAAAAGAACGTCCATTTTGTGATATTACAAGATACATTTTGTGTGTGTGTGTATGCCATCTTATTTAAATTATAGTTTGCAGTCTTGTGGCCAAGCACTTTATTCCTGGACATATTGTTCCCTATTTTTTTATTGAACAATTTTTACAAATCGCTGAGGCAGATAGTTGGTTTCTGAATGTAACGGCACAGTGATTAAAGCTTATGTTAAAGAGCTTTTTCATATAAGTGATTAGTGTTCAGCTTGCAAGGCAACATTTTCAGACACCCAGATCTTATTGCAATCGTACAGACATTTTACAACCCCTAGCAACGGGAATCTCGGGTACACACTGCACTCGTGAACTCAACGACACAGCCGTGAAATGTTACAAATCAAACAGGACAACTCACCAAAGGTGTGACGGAGGCATCATCAACATTTGCTAACATGCCACAGCAACATTATGTCAAGAGTTATGATCACACCATCTTCAGCAACCAACCTGCTCTAGGCAACTCATCACGGCTGACACCGTGAGAGGAGTGCAGCCCTGGACACCAGCAACCATCGTGCTCATCAGTGTCCATGCCACATACAGATACGCATGGTACCGTAACAACGAGCACTAGGCTTTACTGAGAGGAGCCAAGGTATTATGTGGATCCAGGGAGGATGGAGATTAAGGAAAAGATTCTGGTCAAAGGTCAAATCAAAGTCTACATTCATTTGCGTTATTATTTTCTGTTAAAGTAGTAGATCTATTAAAAAATTAGTAAAACAACACAGCACTCTGGCACCCCCCTTAAGCATTATGTCCCTATTTTCGCAGCCAGGGTGGCGTTCCAATACTAATAAACAGTTTTATTCTGCATAAGACAACAGTGAGCAAGGCAAACAGGTAATTTAACAAATCTTAGTCGTGACAACCAGTAGACTAGGAAGACTAGCATAAAGACATCACACTTTTGATTAATAAAAACAGTCAAAAACTGTACAAGTAAATAAAGTAGAGGCTACATCTTAAGCATGTAGGGGCATATGCTTTAAATAGTAAAGACCTCTGCCCTATGGTCAAGCAGATTTGAATACCGCTAGCCACCTGATTAGCCTTGAAAGTTCTAAAGTTATTACTAATCTACACTGTACAGAACATATGAGAAACGAACCAGTTCTTGTAGAATCGACGCCTGCACTCATCGCTGAGATGTTCAGCAAACACGGTCCTAAATGTCCTCAAGCCAGTTGGGGTCTCGATGTAGCCAACAACACCCACACACACCATGGGAGGAGCCTCAATGATGGTGACAGCCTCCACAACCTCTTTCTTGTTGGTCTCTGAAAGCGTCACAAGCTGTATCAACAACATGTAGTGCAGAAACAATACAACAACCTAGAAAACACAACCACATGCTGTAACCGTGTGGTGAACATCAGAAGGAAGGCAACATGGAAGCAAAATCTTCATGACGCATCAGTGCATCTTTGGCAAAAGATACTGTCCATATCTTCATCATCTGTTCAGAATATCGCCTACGACACACACAAAAACCAAATATGAGAAGCCCATCGCTATTTTCAATCAAACTGATGTAACAGAAAAACAGAGGACGTCCGGCTGTCGTACACATGCGCTGTTAATTGGATTCCTTCCCGCCGTTTTCAGCTATTTAGAGTGGGTGAAAATCACACCAATCGCAAAATTTCATGAGAGATTAGGACCCATCCCGAAACCCCAGCCGACATTTCCGAAACAAGTTTTAAACGGTTTCTATGATGAAATTGTTGAAAAGATCGCAGATTTCCGAAACTGTAGTGGCTACTAAAACTAGCTCTACAATATAATAAAGCCCAAAAACATGGGCCCTGTGTGAAGAAACGACGGATTCTCATATCTGGTAGAACACTGGCATGCCTCAGCCCAATCCCAAAATTTTGGCAATGGCTGGTATTATTGGCATCATCCTTTCCGTCCACGTCTCTCGTTCTGGATGTCCATATGATGGCTATTTCTGGGTATGTGCGTTTTCCGTCTGTCCACCTTATCCTTGCTCAACAGTTTTGCTTGTAATGCTAAACTGTATTTTTGATTATAAAATTGAATTGGACAATATTCCCTTTTCTCACCTCGTGACATTTCCTCTCCCCCATCCTTTCAACTTACATAAAATGACCTGCAACCATCTACAGGGGTTTTAAAGTCAAGTGCAACTGTTTCATTCTGCATCATTACAATCTACACATGTGAAAAGACAAAACATCAGGGACTTACTAGATCCAGGACGGTCGACCTCTCGCACAATATGGGTCATGCCAGCCTTGTAGCCAATAAAAGCGGTGAGGTGCACTGGCTTGCTCTTGTCATCCTTGGGGAAGGCCTTTACCTTACCCCTGTGGCGCGTGCTTCTCTTCTTGGGCAAGAACCCTTTAGAGCCGTGTCTTGGGGCAGAAAACTTCCTATGAGACTGCAAACAAACAGGCACAGTCAGTTGTTTGGGTACATAACTTTTGTGATTTCATTCAAATTTCTCAAAGGCAAATTTGATTCAGCTTGGGCTAGCATATATTTTAAAAATTGTTTGTTGGATGTTGTACCGTCAATGGCGTGCATCACGTTTTTTCACAGCCTTCTGGTGTTCTGATCAATTCTGACAAGATCTCTCACAGATGTTAGTGTTGGTATCCGTGTATTCCAGAACCTTTGTCACTTGTCTCATGTGATGTCAGTAATATCTGCCACATGATTTTTACGCTATGTCAAACTCGTCAACAAATATGGCAGTGCGATAATTCTTGAAAAACTGTCCATTCCCTCTGCCTTTTTCTTCAACTTTCATACCATCACAATATACTTCATTCATAGTAAACAGATTTGAAATCAGTTCTAGTCTTTGTGCACACTGTACACATCTTAACGACATTGCGAGTGATGCATTGAAACGATACTCTTTTTAATAATTCCGAAAATGTGCATGCCTGAACCGTAATGGACTGAGGCACACAATTTACTATTTAGGATACCCATTTTTAACAGAGCAAATGTGACACAGAAAAGGTAAAGATGGTACGGGTAGCTTCAAAGGTAAACAGGTTACCACCACGCTAGTTGTGTCAAATATGTAAATGTATACGTTAAAATGTTTAACAAGTTTAATTAATTAAATAAGACTTACAGATTCAGTATTGTAAATCAACATAAACTAAATGTGATTCTAAATATATTTAACTTTCATAACATTCTAAAAATTATATAATCAACATTGATACAACTAAGGATGGCGAAAGATAGAATTAACTATAACAGCCTCAAGCAGGACACACTCACCATCTTGGGAACGCGTAGAAAAGGAAGGAAAAAACAGGTGACCTCCCTTTTTATGCGTTTTTGTTATCAAAAATTTCAAGCCAAGTTGCAATAAATAATAACTAAATAAATTTTTACAGTTGTGAATAATAGTCGACATAAATAATATAATTTACACCTGTTGTAAAATAAAAATAATGTTATAATAATTGCCATTTATGAAATTATTCACTTTATTATAAAATATGTCAACATAATTAAATATTAATTTCAGACTAGCGATAATTACAATCTGGCATCTCATTTTATAAAAAGTTGATCACGCATCCCTGGTGATTTACTTCAAATTTAAAAACGAAACAAATTTACGGGCTCACTTAGCAATTTTACAATTTCAGTGCAAATATTATTCAGTTCTTGTTCTTCACGCATCCACTTTAGTCCATACAAATGCAGCAGTCGTTTCAGAATTACGAAATCTATATATAGTTGATCTGTGGTCTTCGACAAATATTTAAAAATTAGACTTAATTGCATCACAGTCTAGTTACAATATGCGTGTCTTGTCCAGTTCTGTTGTATTGATTCCCACTTATACAGTTCGTTTGAAGATGATAAATGGCTTTTAATTTTCTCTATACCTGGAATGCTTTGTATTACTGGGGCAGGAAGAGAATTCTAGAATGGGCCCTTCTGTTCGCTTTGTATAAAGTACTTTCTAGTGTCTCTTATATTTCTGCTGTCCATGTACTGTGTGGTCGACCTCTAGGTCTGTTACCGCTATATCTATACAACATTGCTCTCTGTGGTGCCCTGTTTGTTGACGACTCTCCTCCTGATATCATTGTTCCTAAGTCAATTTTGTCTTTGTTATACATGGCATGATAAGTTAACATTCATGTCTTTCGTGTCTATTTTTATTCTGTCTTCGAAAGACAGTGTCCATGATTGGAACTGACAGCAAAGTGTTGGTAGGAATATTGTGCTGAACAGTGCTCTTTAGTGTTCACGTCTGTCTGTTTATCGGTCTTCCTGTCTGTAAGTCTGCTGAATCTTCTTCTTCTTCTTTTCTTTTTCTTTTGTTGCTTCTTCTTCTTCTTCTTCTTCTTCTTCTTCTTCTTCTTCTTCTTCTTCTTCTTCTTCTTCTCTTCTTCTTTCTTCTTCTTCTTCTTCTTCTTCTTCTTCTTCTTCTTCTTCTTCTTCTTCTTCTTCTTTTTCTTCTTCTTCTTTTTCTTCTCTGCTGCTTCTGCTTCCTCTTCTTCTTCGTTTTCCTCTTGTACCGCTTCGGCTGTCGAGAAAGAAATAAGGTTCTGCTTCTTTCTCTTCTGACCGCCTCGACCACAGACACAAGTTCTGTTGTAGAGTTTATCTGATGTCGTGGAAGACCAAGGGAAACTCTACGTAGTACTATCATCAGGGAAGGCTCGCTGGAAAGACTAACCTATCTTCCCAACTTGTTCTTGGTTTACTCTTTGCTCTACAGCCTTCTCCTCTTTTGGTGTATACACTGCATGATATCACAGGGCATACTCTCTAGGTTGATAAACCATTTGGTTAGCTCTCTTTTCGTTTTTTTGTTCTTATGACTTCATTTGTGATCTCATATCTTTTAGTCACTCCTACAGCCCTTCTCAGGCATCTCATTTCCATGGTTACTAATTGTCTTTTTTGATTTGTTGTCAGTGCCTACGTCTGGCACTGGTGCATATAGGAATAAATATGCTGTGTACGATATGTTTCTTTGTGTTGATCTGCTTTGTCATGCAGTTTTAACAAATGAAAGGGCTGGGGGGGGGGGGGGGAAGGCTAACTGTCTAAATATTTGGTTAACGTAGCTACTGCTCATAGTCTGTCCAAAAGCACAGTGAAGATCAAAATCTGTTCTTGAATTTAAAGAAAACCAAAATAATGTCCACAGATAAAACTGGCTATCACCCAAAAATAACAATAAATTATGAAGAAATTGAAAATGTCACAAACTTTGAATATCTAGGCTCTATAATAAACAGCAATGAAGACTGTTTGACATAAATTAAAAGGAGGATGGCCATAGCAATGCAAAGATTAAACAGCCTCAAAAGTCTATGGTTAAGCACCAGCAAGGATATCAAATTTAGAATTTTGAGAGCAGGCATCTTTCCTGTGGCTACATACGGATGTGAGTCGTGGACTATCTCTCAGTGCTTAAGAAAGAGAATAGGTGCTTTTGAGCTGAAATGCTATAGAAAGATTCTTAGTATATCTCGGACAAAGAAGAGGAGAAACACTGACATCTTGGAAGATCTGAACATCAAGGAAGGCTAATAAACAGCATCCTGTCTCGGAAACAGAAATATTTAGGGCATATTAAGCGCCACGGCAGATTGGAAAAAATTATAGCAGAAGGAATGGTACCAGGAAGAAGGGGCAGGGACCGACGGACAAGAAGATGTGCACAGGATATAAGTGAACTATTGCTCAGGTTCTTTTTTGCCGAATCGGTCGTCGAAAGAGATAAAAGCTTCTGTTTTTTGTGTGTGTGGCTCTTTTGCCGGTCTCGATCCTAGATACATCGTGTTATTTATCTGATGCCATCGTTCCATATGTGTTTGGTCTACCTTGTCCTCTACACCCTTCTCCTCTATTGGCGTACGCCTTGCATGGTATGGCGTCACATTGTATTCTCTTTAAATGGGCAACAACATATCCTCTTCACGTAAAATTGCATGTTAAAAAAAAAAACCACAGCGAAAATTATGTGGTTGGTTTTAATTTGTCGGTAAAATAACAAAGTCCTAAAGTAGACTAGCGATCAGAAGTTTACACTGGAATTCACAGGTTGTGAACGCAAAGATAAAGAAGACAACGTCATGTATGGGATATGAAACTATTCTTATTGTTCTTCGCGTTCACCAGCTTCAAACTCCGGCGGAAAGTTCTGGTTGTTCATCCACTTGTAGTCTTTTTTTCCAGAACCTGAGTGTTGTGTGTGCATCAATTTTAAACACAGCACTCATTCGCATGCAGCTGTTGGTTCCTCGCATCTCAGGCAGGTGCACTTCTACTTTGAAGGAAGCTGAGAATTAGTCGACTCTTACGACATGCTTTCGGGTAGGCAGTGAGTCTACTCTTGTATTCCCCACGGGGAGGATATGTAACTAATGTTTGTGTCAACTACAAGCAGAACAGAAACAAAGATTTCTTACTATAACATAACCGATTACCTTTCAATTCATGAGGTGTCGTCTTCACGATGAAAGGGTAGCTGCAATGGATCCGTGATCTCCTACGATGACCAATTTGGACTTTATAATAGAGCATTCCTTGTTCAGGTTTCTGCTATGACCAGTTTTTTTGAAGTTTGAACAGGGGATCAGAATCATGGTGTAGTAACCCATAAGTGCTCTGTTCTTCTTCTAACCCAAGTCTGAGTCCGAAGAAGCTCAACATAGTGCACTTTGGGTATATTTTTACCTCCAAACTTTGCCCAGGCAGCGTCGTTAGGCTACTCGTTTCGATTTCAGACAGCCAATCCGATCTCTATCCAGAGACCAGGGGGAATTACTAGAAGTCCAAGCACACGTGAAAAAATCCCAGCCCTTACCGGGGATTGAATGCAGAACCTCCAGCACTCGAAATGGACACCATGCCCCTAGCCCGCGCAGCTCTGATCAGTAAGACTGGTTGAGCATCCAAACTACATTTCTGACCAATTTATAACGCCTTTCAAATGAAGGCTGACCGCAATAGATCTCGAATTTTTGCCTGCATCTCAGATCTACTTTGTACTCGCATATTCATTGTCAGATTTCCGCTCCAAATAATAAGTTTGAATATTTACCTTCTCCGTGTGCGTTCAGGAGTCTCATTTTGTGGATAACAAGAACATGCCCACCGTTTTCCCTACAAGCATGTTGCAGGAGTCGACTGGTATAGGACTTTCTTCGAAATCGGACTTCATTGACCCCAGCGGCAAGGAACAACACAAACAAGCTAGTCAAAACGGATGTACACACAAAACACAGGCCCTGGCACAAAGCCAGATTCTAACTGGGTGAACAACCACAGTTTTCCCCATAAACTTACAGCCGGTGAACAAAGAAGAAGAAGTATTCAGCAGCCTTTACCAATTACCCCCCCCCCCCCCTTTTTTTTTTCCCCATTTGTTTTGATACAAAATGTGTGACAGAGAGTAAAAGCAAAATAGGTAAGCGAAAGCTGCCTTTCAGAATATGAAACAAATCTTATGCAACAAGTCGCTTTCATTTAATGTCAGAAGGAGAGTGCTAAAATGTTGCATAGAACTTGTTTTGCTGTAAGGCAACGAATCTTAGAATGTCAGTGAACAAATTAAGGTTTCTGAGACGAATGTTACAAATACACTGGACGGTCAGAACAACAAACAACGATTGTTTGAAAGAAGCCAATGAAAGTAGATCTCTATATACAACAATAAGAAGGAGATATAAACTGTTCTTTGACCACGTAATGAGAAGAGGCATTGGAAAACACCGTGACAGCTGAAAAGATCAGTGGACAGAGGGATAGAGGCAGACAAAGAGAGAAGATTCTGGATGGGCTGAAACGATGGCATGGAGGGATATCATCAAGAGAGTTGTTCCAGGCAACCGGGGATCGTGATCTGCGGAGACGTATGACCGCCTATGCCAACTAGCAAGGCACATGATGATTATGATGATGGTGACGATAATGATTTGTTTTTTAAATGCCAGCCATGTAATTGTTTTTAATTTACGGACCGGAAGCAGGAGAGTTGTGAGTTACACACGTTTGAGTTGTCCTGATCAATGTGTGTGGCCGAGCCAATTGTGTTTGAAACATTTATATTCCGTATTCGTTTCATGGAGCCATGATATTATATTTGAGCCGTGTTATTATATTTCATAGAGGTGAACAACTGCAAGTATATTATCATTCAGAAATCGCATAATAGTCTGTATGTTTTTGTTTTTTGAATATCTATAATCTATGTTCATAAAAAAACAAAAAACTGTCGTTACTGACTACACAACCGCTTAAGACTGCATGTTACACATAGCTTATCCTAATCTAGATTCCGGAGGCCCATTGTGGGGAAGACAAAAAAAAGACCTTTACTGCCTGTCTACAAGCATGTCGTAAGAATTGACTAACTGGCAGTTTCCTTCCAAGTAGGGCTGTACCGAATAGGGATTTTCACTATTCGACCGAATACGAATAGCGGGACCAACTATTCGGCCGAATACAAATACGAAAAGTGTATTATCACCTTGCCGACTGGCGTGGGCGACTATGCCTCGCCACAATCTGCGATCTCCTGCATCATGTATTAGTTCGTGTGCTTACACACCTTCATACCATGCAAAAAGACTGTCAAGAATCTTCTCTCGTTATCTTCCTCTGTCCCTCCTTGTGCAGATCTTTCCAGTGGTCACCACATGTTCCATTTTCCCTCTTCTCATAACAGGGCTGAAAAATGATGTATGTGATTATTTATCTTCGGGCTCCCGCCTCTTTCAAAACCTCACGGTTGCTTTTTTTTTTGGCTGTGCAAGGTATTTTAAGCATTGTTCTGTAAAACCACATCTCTAAAGCCACAAGAAATTGTTTGGCCTGCCTACCGATTGTCCAGGACTCACAGCCATATGTTAAAAATGGATGTATGTAGCAAGCAAGAATTCTTTTTGTAAGCTTTAATGGCAAAGATATATGGCATAAGGTGTTCTTCATTTTATAAAATGCAGTTTTTGCCTGTCCCGTTATGTTTCTTATCTCACATATGCATCTTCCATCTTATGTTATCCATGTGCCCAGATACTTAAATTTGTGTACTTGTCCCCAAAAAAACACCATCGACTTTTATTACACATTTGGGAATAATTCTTTTCTTTGATACCACCATTACTTCTGTCTTCCCACTATTCAAACTGAGGCCCATTCTTCCACTTTTGAATAGTGTATAGTGTATAAAATAGATCTAAAATAAAAATAAAAAAACACATGCATAATGTCAAATGTACGCTGAAATTTTACTTCACAAAATGTAGTACGGCATATTAAACATTTAAAAACATTTTATTTTTTTTGCTTCCTTCAGTCATTCAGTCTGTGGTAACTAATACCTAGGAATGAAAGTATTCTCAGTTTTATAATAAGTAAATTAACTTGTAAATTGTCACTGACAGCTTAGTTAATGCATGAAAGAGGCATTAGCTTTCAAAAAAGCAAATCGTTCCATGTTGTCAGCATTAGGACAGCTTCTCGTCTCAATGAAGGTATTTCCAGCTGTACTCAACAGACGTTCACTTGGTACGCTCGTAGGTGGTGCATAAAGATAACGCTTGACAGTATTAACCAAGGTGGGGTATCTTGACATGTTTATTTTCCACCAGTCCAGAAACGGGTGTAAGGTCGCCACTATTCGTATTCGGCCCGACCGCAAGTATTCGGCCGAATACCGAATAGTTATTAGGTCCACTATTCGGCCCGAAGCGAATATTCGGTACAGCCCTACTTCGAAGTCAGACATCTGTCTGAGAGGCAAGAAACCAACAGTCTGCACCCAAATGAATTAGACACATGAAACAGGTGTGCACGCAAAACTCAGTTTCTGGAACAGCACTATAGTCCAGAAGCGGACGAACAACCATAACTTTCCGCCAGAGTTTACAGTCGGTGAATGTGAAGAAGAAAAGGGTTGTGTGGGTCTCCTTTTTCTTCATCTTTCTTTCTTTCTCTACTCCTGGAATACCTCGCGGCGTCATGGCTAGAAGAGATCTCTAGAACGGGCCCTTCTTTTGGCGACGTATAAAGTACTTTTCAGTATTCTTCTTCTTTCTTCACCGACAGAAAGCTCCAGTGCGAAGTCCTGGTTGTTGGTCCATTTCGACTTTGGCTTTATGCCAGGCATGGGTTGTGCTTGTTCATCCGTTTTACTGGCTTGTTTGTGTGCAGATGCACTCCGATTTCGAAGAAAGTTCCCGATTAGTCGACTCCGACGACATGCTTCTTGGGGAGGCAACGGGTCTGTTTTTCTTGTCCCCACAACTGGGCCCACACAGGGATACTTTTCAGTCTCTGATATTTCTGCGGTCCATGTTCTGCGTGGTCGTGCTGTTACCGTTTTATCTGTATAACACTGCTCTCTGTGGTGCCCTGTCTGATGGCCATCTTGTTACATGGCCAAACTGTTTGATTTGTGGCCTACCAATAAAGTTCAGTACTGGTTCTGTGCGGACTGTCCTCCCGATATCATCGTTCCTAATTCGATCTTTCCTCGTTACACCAGATTAGCACCAGAGAGGGCACCGCAGAGAGCAATGTGATACAAATACATCAGTAACAGATCCAGAGGTCGATCACGCAGACAATATCAGAGATACTGAATGTGCTTTATATCAAGTGGACAGAAGGGCCCTTTCCAAAGATCTCTTATTGAGTAGAGACGAGAAAAAGAACATATATCGTTAGCTATAAACACAATAAGAAACATGCTTAGGAGATAATCTGAGAGCAGAAATATCAGATACTGAAAGCAGTATATATCAAGTGAACAGAAGAACCGCCCGGCTCTCTAGCGGAATTGGCTAAACCGGATTTCGCGGAGATCGGGTGACGTACTCCTTGTGGTCCGGGTTCAATCCCGGGGGTAGGGAGGAAAGCCACATTTTCTCCCAGATTTACGGTATTTACAATGGAATCAAGGCCGAAAGGTTGCGATATCCATAATACCGAGCCTAAGGGTTAACAACTCGTGGCTTCTGGATACTAAAACAAACAAACAAACGAACAGAAGAACCCGTTCCAAAAATCTCTTCTTGCGCTAACGCTGAGTAGAGACGAGAAAAAAGACAGAACAGAAATCGTTAACTGTAAACACAATAAGAGACATGCTCAGGAGAGCATCTGAGCGCTCGTGGGTATGGCCAACATGTGATGAAGATAGTCTTATGGTGAACAATGAACAGTGATCCAGAAGACCTTCGTCTAAGGAGAGGGTTGGATCCCATGCAGACGGCTCGATCCCACCTGGCAAAGCAAAAGCTGATAAAGATAGCGATGGAACTGATCAAGCTTTACCAGAAAAAGGTAAGTATATTTGATGTACTTTTTTACCTTTCAATTGTTAATGATTGACACAAACGAATATTTATTAAACCTTCGTGTTATTTGAACCCTCGCTCAAAATAAACATAAATTAAAACTTACTCTGCGCCCTACCAAACATGTCGCAAGAGGCGACTACGAGTAAGCTGAGCACTGGGTTGGCTGCCTCATAGTTCTCAGCTGTCATTAGTCTTGTAGGTAAAAGTTGTTAGTCAAGAATGATCACTGCAGCTGGGGCATTCCCATAGGCGCGGTGTCCTCCCTGTTGGAAGCCAACGTACAGTACTAATACCGCGTTGGTACCGGTGCTATAGTACTTTTCAAAACGTACGTTGTCACACTTAATCAAATATCTCGAAAACATTTTACTGATCAACACGATCTTTAGCATGTGGTCTTAGCTTTCCAATGTCTTTATGTTTCTATAATATAACGCTGCACATTGTTTTCTTAACTCTTCACGGACGTTTAGCCAGTATACTGGCGATTGAGTCTATTCCTTAAAGACGTAAAGCCAGTTTACTGGCTCATGATAGAGACACTCTAATTTGGTTCCGTTTGTAGGGAAAACGAACTTTTATGAACAAGTTTTTTAACAATTAGGATTAACAACAGGGTGGACTTTCATTTGCGATGTTCATCGTGATCGGTGCATTATTTTGTGATTTAAAAAATTATTTTAGCTTTGTTGTGTTGCACTGAAAAAATTTCGCTTAAAATTAATGCTGTCCAAACCGCAGAAAAAATGCCGTCCTAAAAGAGTTAAGGCCGGCGAATCTATTTGATCTTTGTTGCAATTGATGAACCTCTGAACAGTAGAATATGCAGTAACTGACGCGGGGAGATTGTTTGGAAATCAGTTACTGTGTGCATCGATGCGTGGTGATTGTTATGATAGCCTATTCCTCACTCAACAAAAAATCCTCAACTGACAGGACTGACATATGCTGTAGATTACCACCTCAGATTGAAAAGCCGGTGATACGCGTTCAGGGCTATCCTCCGAAAACGGTCCTAAATTATCGAGGCGGAAAATATACCCTAACAGGGCCTCAGTCAGCTGTCAATTGTGCACTTCCGGGACTATAACGCCACCGCCGATTTGCGAACTTCCGGCAACTTCCGCCACCGCCGAGATTTTTCCACACACCGCTCACGCGGCGTAGATTGGGGCTCAAACGCCAGCGGCTTGGGGATACACTCGGCGGTGGCGGAAGTCGCCAGAAGCGCGAAATTTAAGACGACGGAAGTTAGGGTATATTTTCCACCTCGATAATTTAGGACCTTTATTTGGAGGATAGCCTGCGTTAAATCTGATTAGTGAAAAGTTCCCCTTGCTCAGATTGCTTAAGTTACTGTAAGCATGCCGACACTTTGCTTTTTATATTATTCAACCCAACCTCCCCCTCCCCCTCCCCCCTCCCCCCCGAAAAAAAAACCTAATGTAAAAACATTTGACTTCTATATTTACCATATTTTATTTGACTTCAAGAGCTTACAATTTAATTTTCTCACAGTTCTATTGTACGTTTGTTGTGAGTCAAAAATCCTAAAATCTTGACTAAGATATAGAGTCATCGTCATCGTCATGAAGCAGGTCCTTTGCAGAACGTCGCTATCATCACGGTCTGGTACCATGCCATTGTTTTCAATATAGAGTGGAAACAATGGCATTTGATGTGGATAGTCGTTACAGAACATTAACAAAAGAACACGAGAGAAGACTAACCACCTGTGAAATGAGATGTTTGAGAATGGCTGCGAATAAAACCAGAAGAGATCGAGTGAGAAACGATGTGATTACAAGAACTATTGGAACCATACCCATCGTTAAATTTATTGAGAAGCAAAGAATGAAATGGTTTGGTCACCTAATGAGAATGGAAAACAACGATGCCAGCAGCAAGAGCATACAACA